AAGAATATAAATTACTTATGAAAAATCTAAAATATAATTTTTTTTAATTATTTATTTATATAAAATTTTATTGTATATGTTTTATTATAAATTTTAGTTATATTTTTTTTTTTGTGTTGTATAAATTTTAGTTATATATATAAATATTATTACTGTATTACATATATTAAGATACCATTATATTATGAAAAGAAATTATCCTAAAAACTAATTAAAAAATACTTAAAATATAGTATTTAAATTTAAAAGTAATTACGATAAAGACCGTGAATAATTCACGAATTTTATACTAAAAATATAATCGAATTAAATTCTCTCTCTATATAAATATGGAAAACCCGTAGCGTCTGTTCTTGCTTCAGCTTTAATGGCCTGTGAGACTACGCTGAGTGTGTACGCCTACGGTTCCCAGTGACCGCATGTAAATCTTCAATATTTGCATGCTTCACCAACTCCCCTCACACATTCACCCTTATGATTTTCTCCAAATGCAAATGCAAATGCAATTCCAATTCTCTTCATAAAGGACCCAACTTTCCCGGTTTTTCCAACCACTGAGCCCGACCCAGATGGCCAATCACTCCTAATCTCTCACGCCCTTTTGTTTTTCACTCTCTTTGAATCAGTATCTCAAATGGGTTTTCTCATTCATAGACTCATCTGATTGCTCTGCGTGAGTTTCCTTTGTTGTTGTTTTAAAAATTCTCTTTTTATCCTTTTTTTCCCCCTTCTTGTTTGTTTGTTGGCGTGTGAACGCGTTGAGATGGTCGAGAATGTGAAGGACGATGGGGGGCTTGAGGAGCTTGAGATGTTGCTGAATGAGATCCCTCAGGCAACATCACACAATCTTTACCATGGGAAATCACATGTTCATCATGGTCATGGTCATGGTCATGTTCATGGTGATGATCATGGTTCTCTTGTGTCTCATGGAATGTGTGGTGTGTATGATGATGACCCCTTCACTCAGATTCAGTATCCGTGTGCCTCATCCCCTGTCAGTGGCTTTTCCCTGCAATCTGATGGCTCTTCCTCCAGCTTGTTCTCTTCTGGCCATGCCTTGTCTGACACTGGATCACCAACCCCTCCTCCATTAGAGGATCTTAAATCCACCATGCCTTCTGGGGGTTCTTCTCACCCTAATAACCGTTTCACAACACCTGATTCAACTTCTATCAACAATGTGAATGGAGGTTTTGTTGATGAACTTGGCCTGTGTGCCAATTTGAGCCAAATGTACATCAGTAATCAACAAGAGAGCCCTTGTAATTTCAATAATGCTGCAATGGCCATGAATAGGATGCCATTTCCTGAATGTTCCTTCAGTGGAAATGGTCCAAGCAACATTTACAAACATGGGGGTCATTACACTTTCAAGAAAGGCTCTTTGGATTGTGTTGGGGTCCAATCCCCCCTTCCATGGAGTCCTGTAAATCATGATGGTGAAATGAATTCCGCATTGTCCGGGTTCACCCGAGACTATAGAATGGCTAATTTATTTGGATCAAGACAGTGTGCCAAAAGGCCTGAGACAATGCTTTCTCAATTAAATGACTTTAGTGGCTCAATGGAGTCTCCTTGTCATCATACAAGGCAGATGATAAACAACTACTATTGTGGAGGAAGTCGAAGTCAGCCACCAGAACATACTGCTTCGTTGAGCAGAAATCCGGTGGTTGATGCTTTACTTTATGCACAGAAAAATAGAATGAATGTAACTGAAGAAACAGGCATGTCAAGATTGCTTAGCTCTTCCCAGTGTATTAATTTAAGACCTTATTTGGGTGTTCATGATTTACAGCATTATAGCCATTCTCAGCCTAATAATGCAAGAGCTGTGCCTCTTTCAAATGCTAGAATCCCACAAGGAAATATAGATGCTATTGCAAGTGAGGGGAGCTTCATCATACAAGGTGAAGGTTTAAATTATGTTGCTAGTAGAGGTTCGGATCATTCTATATATCATAGTAAGGCTGCAGTGCGAGAAACTGGCTTTGCTAAGCATATGAAGAGAACAGAGATAGATGAGCCATACCATGTTGTAGGAACTTTTGAAAATCCTAGGAGTTCCAGGATAGCTTGCTCCTTTCCTTTGATACCCAAGTATAGTTCCCTTGCTGAAGCTCAAGGGTATATATATTTAATGGCCAAAGATCAGCATGGCTGTAGGTTCTTGCAAAAAATGTTTGACGAGGGCACACCGGAAGATGTTCAAGTGATATTTAATGAGATCATTGATCATGTAGTGGAACTTATGATGAATCCTTTTGGAAATTACCTTATGCAGAAGTTATTGGATGTATGCAATGAAGAACAGAGGATGCAAATTCTACTAATAATTACTCAAGAACCAGGCCAGCTTGTCAGAATCTCTTTAAACACTCATGGGTAATGCCACAACTTGTGAACCTATTGCAATATTATGTAGTTGTCTTTTATTGAATTTGACATGACTTGTTTACATTTTTCTTTTATCAGCACTCGTGTGGTACAGAAGCTAATTGAGACTCTCAAAACTAGGCCGCAAATTTCATTAGCTATATCAGCTCTTGAACCAGGATTCTTGGCTCTCATCAAAGATCTAAATGGAAACCATGTGGTTCAGCGTTGTTTGCTATGCTTAAGCAATGAAGATAACAAGGCATGATTTGTATCTTCAGCAAAGTTTATAGATTGGATAATAATCTTTTATATGATATCGTTATGAGAGAATATAAATTTTTGTGCTTATTTCATTCTTGTTTATGTTTTATAAACTTTTAAATCAGTGATAACTGATCATCTCATGTGAAATAGCACTTCATTGTTTTCTTAAAGATTCATTTTATTCTGTAAGTTCCTCTTCCTTAACGTGTAACATTCTATTTTTATGTTCTAACCTCTACATTTCAATCTTATTGCACCTTGGTAGTAAACTTTCATTTATTGCTATTAACAAAAACTTGTTAAGTCATTGGTTTGGTGTATTGGAAGGCTTTTTATTCTGATTTATTTCAAGGAAGCATCTAAGGGCATGTTTTACTCGGTTTGGCATGTAGACATGGTAGCTTGGCTAAATTGTTTAAGCCTTTGTTTAACTTTGCTCTTCCTACATATATAATTCTCAAATGAAAAATTAGAATCATATCTTCAGCTATACTGTGATTTTGTCTGAATATTATTTATTGACAGTAGAGCCAGGTTCCCCAATTCAGATATTGTGATGCTTATGTGTATGAAATGATTTATTTCTAGTCACGAAGTTCACTTCCTCCCTTTGTGCACAGAACAGAAGTGACTGATACACTAATATCATACAATGCACTTTATATCAACATGCAAAGTTGATAGACATTTATTTTATGATAATAATGGCGCTTTAAATGTTATTATGTGAAAGACATGCTTTTGCCATCATATATTGAACATGCTATGCTTGCAATTTCTAAGCTACCAAAGTATGAATTATTTTTGTTCTGTGGACTAAATTTGTTAAATGTTCTTCAAGTTTTATCACCAAGACTAATAATGAATTTAAATTTATATAAATGTTTTGTGTTGCTTTAAGATTCCCTTTCTGCTTAGAAAAAGATTGAATTGATCAATGATGTATAAAACAAACACCATTCTAACTACTATTTCCTAGATATACATTGCTTTGCTTGTGAAGGGTTATGAATTCAACACCTAGAGAATCATAGTACATATGTCTATTAGTTAATTTTTAAAAATTAGAAAACTACATTTAGGATGGCGTTTACTTTCATTGTAAAATTAATATACACAGGATTATTAAAGTGAGCTACTATTATAGAATAGGGACCAATATTATAGAATATGGGCCTTTACTTCCATTGTGAAATTAATATATACAGGATTATTAAAGTGAACCAATATTATAGAATAGGGACCAATGAACAAAATGAAATAAGCTTGTAATGATATGGGATAGAGTGCTTGTGAACTATGATTGAAGTGGTCTCCATTTTGGTGTGGCAAATTTACTTTTTGTGCTTAACTTGAATCATGATTTGAGTGTGATGAAATGTAGAACAAATTTGCAAAGATTGATGTTTCCTTGCAGAAGTTACAATTTCCCTGTCATTTGCATTGTGCAGTTTATATTTGTTGCTGCTGCAAAGTATTGTGTTGACATTGCAACTCACCAACACGGGTGTTGTGTTCTGCAAAGATGCATCGGCCATTCAAGTGGGGAGTATCGAAAAAAACTGATAGCAGAAATATGTGCTAATGCACTTCTGCTAGCTCAAGATCAATATGGGTAACTATTGGAAACATAATAGTTTATACACAAAGTTCCTTTCACCAGTTCTTTTTTTGGTTAGAATATCTACTTTTCCACCACAAACATGTTTTCTCTTTTTTGTTAATCTTAGTTGTAGTCAAATGTCTTTGGCAATTTGTATAAACAATTTTAACCCATTTTACTGGCGGCCAAGTCTAGTGGGGACTGGAAAATGTGGTGGCCACACTATATCTGTTGTTTTACATTTTCTCCTTATACATATGATCATTGTCAGATCTATGAAAAAGTGAATAGTACACTAGGAAACAAAATTGTTATTAATTACCGGATATAAATGACGGAGTAATTTTTTTTAATAAAGTTCAAACTGAAACTCATGTTATTATACCAGTTTTAACATCTCAGTTTGTGGAATTCCTTAACTCAGATGGTAGTACAAAGCACTCAAAAGTCAAAACAACTGTGAGCCTTTTTCTCTATGGATTATGAACAGACTTCTTTCTGTTCACATTTTGCTTCTCTTTGCATGTGATTCACATTAACTATTCAAGCCTGTTGATCAGTTTAGGAAAACAATTTGGTGTTGATCTACTTGTGATATCTAGCAATTATGTGTACTTTGGATCTATGACATAAATGCTGCCTCCACCTACCTCTTTGATTTTTCTACCCTTTCATCTCTCTCCTTGTTGCCTGCTGCAGAAATTATGTTGTTCAATTTATCTTGGACTTAAAGATTCCATCTGCCACCACATGCATAAGGTCGCAATTTGAAGGCAACTATGTGCACCTGTCAAGACAGAAGTTTGGTAGTCATGTGGTTGAAAAATGTCTTGCTGTATTCAATGATGAGAATCGTTCAAGAGTCATTCTTGAACTGCTCTCCACTCCTCACTTTGAACACTTGCTTCAAGATCCACATGCAAACTATGTTGTTCAATCAGCTATTCGGCATTCTGAGGTTTGTAACATTCCCACCATATTTTCCTTTTTCCTTTTCACTTTTCATGAACCCCTGACAGAATAATCAGTTCAAAATCTTGTCATGACATTATCTTTTTAGCCAAAAGTTGCTGTCATATAGTGATACTACAAAGTGCATATAATTTTTGTACTCATTTTAGCTGTTTATGGACTTCATCAATGAAAGATTTTGTACTCATATTTGAGATTTTTTTTTCTTTTTCTTTTCCTTCTAAACTAGGGCCCCGTGCACAATGTACTAGTTGAAGCAATCGAGTCCCACAAAGCCATCTCTCGAAACAGCCCGTATTCCAAGAAGATTTTCTCTCAAAAGCTTTTGAAGAAATAATGTATATTCTTCTTCCCTTGTGCAAGAAGTGTTCTTGTTCTGTGTCAAAGGAACGGTTTGTATGTTTTGGATGGTTATTTAACTGTAATTTGAAATGCTGATAACCATGCAAGGGAGTTGGTCTGTTTATGTGCCTTTCCATCTGCTCAGCTAATTATGGAAAAAGGGGAAGGAATTTTGCTCACGTTTTGGATCTTTGCATGTACTATTTCTTGTATTTCAACTTATTGGATGTTGTTATCATGTTAATTATGCTATTCTCACTGTGTGAGAATGTACAGTGTATAGAACTTTAGTTTTTTGCTTTTATTGTATAATACTACGAGGAAACTTTCCGAATAGCCTTTATCTTACACTCATCCAGAATAACGTCCTTTGTTCTAGGGGCAGGGGAGTGAATGATTCTTGATCCATCATTGTATTTAAATTTATTATTATTGTTCCCGTTTTGTTCATGATTTTAAAATTTTAAAACATGCCTCAGTCTCTCTAAAATGCACTCTGCACTTTAGAAGCAAAGTATAAAACAATAACAGTTCATTAAGAAATTAATGATAAAAATGTGATTATATGTATATAATCACTTGAGAGTTTATTAAAATCTCAACCGTTAGTTCTTTCAAACAATCTATTTTAAAAGGGTAGGGCGGCTTTTCGGCTAAAAATTAAAGGGACGCACCTAAACCTTTTATTGAAACAACATTTTGGGGCTTATTGAAAATTTAATTTGTTATTAAAGATTAAGGGGGTAATAGTTCTACCACATCCTGAGGGGCCATGCCTAGATCGTTACTCTAAAAAACAAACTATGCATCCGGTTATTTCTTTAATTAGGCTGTGTAAATCATAATCCTCCCTCTAATCATATATGGCCATGGGCCAGCAGCTTTAAAATACAGAAGATTGGATATTTTTTATTATTACCTTCTTTTTTTAAAATTTTTTTTTACTAATAAGAATTAGAAGAGTAATATGTAAAACATTAACTTGGATGGACTTTAGTGACAAATGACTCACATAACTTAACCAAGTAATTAATCAGGGATATGACTCTTGCGAATACAAAAAAAAATTCAAATTAAAAGGAAATGTTTACTTCATCTATTTAGTGTTTGACAAAAATATTTTTTAATAATAAAAAAATGTAAAACGTACATTTAAACAGATAAAAGAAACAAAAGATTGAAAGAATGAGAAGAATAAGAGTCACGTTCGTATCAAAATTTATAAACAAGGAGTAGATTAATTATGTTAATACTATCTTAATTTTTTAAACATTTTTCTTCTGATTCCATTATAAATTTTCACCTAAATTAAAAATGCTCATGTTCGAGATACTAGTACCTAATACACTGGTTTTTTTTTAATAAAATAATGAAAGATTTTTGTTTTGCTTTCTCAATGTTGGGAAATTTGTGAACCTACCTAAATTTTGCTCCCTCTATTATTTTTTTCTTGGTAAGAAAATATGGTTCCACTATTAGCTGATAGGTTACATTACGTAATGGTGGTAGATTTCCATCAAGGTTAGGATACACGACAACGTCATAACAGCTTGAACAAAAGTAATTGCGTTATCAACTATAAACGAAATATTAAATTATATTATATCTCTCTTTAAATATAGAACAAATTAATTATTCCACGTCATACGTACATGGAAGAGAGATTTTTAAGGAAATGTATGGGACAGGACAAGAGCGGTCCTTTCTAAACGCATGCCTTTTCCGTTCCTTCAAGAAATAGAAATGCAAATTACTAACACATGAATGAGTACCCTTCACTCTTCACGCCACGCTCACTTTTACTGTGTCTTTTATTTGATAATCCAATTATCTTAAGAGTTTAAAAAATAATTTTGTTAATACAATTATATTATGTTAATGTAAAAAAAACATATCATTAACCAATATGAAATCATTAAAAACATATAATTCTTAATATAGTTATTATAAAAGTTAGTAAATTTACATACCGTAATAGATTTTAATTAACTAATAGAGTAAAAATCATCTACTTTATTGGATCATGGTTCGTACAAAATTTTCTCATTGTTATAGTTTTTTTGTTATTTAAGATAAGAAAAGAAAAAGATAACAACCTCAATTAAGAACAAAATAACCCTCCTATGAAACATCCCCCATTAATATTAATATAAATATAAATATATTACTAATGAAAAAAAAAATCACTTTGTATCCTTATTAAAAATTGAGAATAACAATCATTTCCTAATAGTTTCCGTAGTTATAAGAGATTGTGTTGTTATTAAAGATAAAATAGAAAAAGTAAAAGTAAACACCTAGTGGAGTAATCCCTTAATTTGTTATTAGTATAGAAGTATAGATGTTCATACACAATCAAGCTAGTTTGTCTTAGAATGCACTAACATATCATATTTGTGGATGGAGAAGTTGTCTTAATTAGGAATTAGACATGAATTAGCATGCAAGGAATTTGTCAAATAGAAACCATGCAATTTAGCGTGTAAATTAGTTGTGTGACCGACAAAGATGCAAAAACTAACTATTTAAGCTCCATCATAGTGACTAATAATCAGATCCTAAAAATCAGGTAGATTTCGTTTACTTATTGAACTACCATCTATGTTTAGGATAATACCAATAGGTTTGACAAAGTTTTTATGCTAGTGAATATCCAATAACTAATACTAGGTGAAGAAGTAGTTAAAGAATAATAGACTATCAAAATGTCCTTAAAATTTCAAGCATGAACTAGAATTGATGAAAGATTGATGTGAAGGTGATTTTGACTTTTGAGATACGATGACCAAGACTAATGATTAATAATTAAACAATTTAAATTTTACCAAAAAATAAAGAAATTAAATATCTATTGACACATAATATATATTTTGTATTTGTATGTATTTATTAGTAAAGAAGTATTTTTTACAAAGTAAAAATTTATCATTATTAAAAGTTGTTAGTTGCTCAAGTGATTTGACATTTGTATACTCTTTAATTAAGGATTAGAGTTTGATTTCATCTTGAACATAAAGTTACGACTAGAGATATTATTTTATTTATAAGAATTGATGTGATGAAAAAAATTATATCTCTTTATAAAAAATAAACTATCATTTTTTTTTATATTATGTGTCTATTTCTATATCAAATATAAATTTATACTTTAGATTACTTACACATTAAGAGTCTTATCTATTATTTTACTTTACACTTATAAAATGTTATGACCAACCTTGATTTGACAAGGAAAATATGTTGTCCACTAAAATAATGGTTGTTTCAAGCTCTTCATGCCTGCCACAAACATGCTATGAATTGGGCATGTAAGGGGATATGTAAATCATCCTTTAGACACACTATGGGACAAGATATTATTGGGTGTAGAAGTCAGGTTGATCAAAACTCATTACTACCCATAATTGCCTTGAGAATAGACAATGCCTAACACAGTGCAAGTCCTCCAACAAACAATGTGGGAATAAGTTGGAATCATTGATATATTCCTTTGATATAGCCATATAGGAAAGATTTTGAAAGGTACCATCATGCTCCCAAAGCCACACAAAAAACTTGATATTTTTCATGTGATTTTAGTCTTTGATTTCAACTCCGAGATAACTAAAATGTCTTCACCTCTTGTCGTTGATTTAAAAGGCAAGAAAAATTGGATGCTAGTGTGTAAAGTCCTTTTTCATTCTCAATTGTATTACTAAGGAGTTATAAGGACATTTTGTGTTAAATTTAGTATTTGAAACAAGGAATAATGTTTCAACATTATGGAAAAAGTGACATAAGAATAAAAGTTCCTCATGTTTGACGGAAGAGAATAAAGATGTTTTTAAATATTCATTAAACATGTTAATTATGAATAAATGACAATAAAACTCTATACATTCATTTATGAGAATAATTTTATCACCGTAATTGAGTGTAAAGTTACTAAACTTCCTCATGATAATTAATGGTAAATATAACACTCTTAAAAAAGTTGAATAATAACTAAATATATTTTATAAACTTTTAAAAAAATTATATTATATTAAAAATCTCATTTTAAGGAAAATAATATAGTTAAGAATGATTTTTTTTTATCACTAAAACCTATTTCTTCAATGAAAAATGATAGATTGTCCGAAGGGACATTCTGAAAAACATTCTGAATAATTAAAATAATAATTTAATTTATAAAATATTAAATTAAATAATTATTTTATAATAAATTTATTAAAAGATATTAATATTTTAATATTCGACGTATGATTCAGAATATATTTTTGGAGGATATATTGTTACTCTGGATGAAAAATGTTGTATCTTCCGAATGAAAATAACGAAATTTGTTCCAAATTATTAAAAAAAAAACTGATTTAAATTTTAAACAATAAAATATTAAATTAAATATTATTTTATAATAAATTTATTAAAAGATACTAATATTTTAATCATTCGGAAACTGATTCGGAAGATAATAACATTCATTTTGGATTCGTTTAAGTAAATAACTTATTTAAACACTTATTGGATAAGTGCTAATATAATTAGCACTTATATATAAGTTAATTTTATAATTAAAGATAAAATAAAATAAAATTATTTTTATGAATAATTTTAGAAAATTTATTGAAATAAGTTTAAAACAACTTATGAACATGAACTATTTTTATAAGTTTTCTCAAAATCTTTCACAAATACTTATATATAAAAACTCTTCTGAACATACCACAAAAAAATATTGACAACCTTAAAAAAAATTCAAGGTAATGCATATACATTTTTTTTAACATATTTTTTTTATCATATTCGTATATCTGACATTATGCTTGGCATAAACAATATTGTAATGCAAATCCACCGCAACATTGAGTTCTTTTCACATTATTTAAAATTTGATTTAGTTAATATTACTCATGCAGTTTAAGATTTATAGCTTTTATTATGGAGCAGCAACAATAAGATAAATGGAGATGGATTTTACACCTTTCAAGCAGTTACATAGTGAGTTTAACTTACTTTTACCTCTTCTAAGAGGGGCAGGTTGAAGACACAACATTCTTTAGGACATTCTAGGCATTCTTAGTTCCACTAAAAACATCATGCTTGGGCTGGAGAATTTTAAATAATGGGATTGCAACAAAAACTAATTTGGAAAAAAGAGGCATTATTCATTCAGACCAACAACAGAGGTCGTTCTTTACAACAAGGAAACAGAATCCATTGACCATTTGTTTTTTACGTGTAGTGCCTCCTATCTCCTTTGGTAGCTTTGTTACAATTGGTTTGGGATACAAACGGTACTCCCAGAACAAGACAAACAACATTTTACCAATCATTTAGAGATTTGGAAAAAGAAAAAAATAACCAAAATATGGAATACAATCTGGTTTATCATGATTTGGAACATTTGGAAGTGGAGAAACGAC